TCCACCAGCCCCACGATCTTCTTCGTGTCAATGTCGGACGTCTTCAGCCCGCTGAACGTGATGTCGCCGCCTTGGACGCACTTCTTGTTTTGCTCCAACTTGCCAGCGAGCGCCTTCAAGAACGTCGACTTGCCCGACCCGGGGTTGGCCAAAATCAGCGTCATGCTGCCCGGCTTGATGATGCCGCTCATCGGCTGCAACACCACTTGCTCCTTGTACACGGCCTTCTTGAACGGGTTGAACATGCGGCCCACGTACGACCCGACCGTCCCCTGCTTCTCGGCCATTGTCATCTGGCGCGCTTGGACAACGTAGTTCAAGTTCTCGAAGCGGACTTCCGGCGTCGCCAAGTGCAGGTTCACCTTGCTCGACAGCGCGCGGTACTTTTCATAGAACCGATCCAACCCGCCGGCCAACATCGACTCGACGCCGTTGCCAGCATGGATCGTACTATACACGCTGTGTCGGGGGGATTGCACCGACCGATACGCGTCCTGGACACTCTTCATGTTGACAGACTTGTACGACTCCGGCATGTGGTCATCGTCGTCCAGAAGGGGCTTCTTGTTGTCATGCGACGCCATGTCTCTTCTACCTTGGGAAGGGGAGTTCGCAGGTCGTGGCAAATTCAAGAATGGCTGATGGGATCGCAGTTTTGCGCGGGGTGAAATGCATTTTGTATACAAAATTCAAGTGGTTTTCTGTGGAAGCCACTCATGCATGGCTTGTGGAATTTAAACTTGACTACAGTATGTCATTGCATTCAGTTGCGATTTTACAGGGATGAATTTGTGGATACAGGCGGGATCACGAATAAAAATTTTCGCCGTTTTTATACGAACTCGATTTTTATTGCGATGCATTTTAATGCCGACGCTGGCGACACCGTGTGCAACAAGCACATAGTGGCACGTTACAAGCCAAAAGTGGGACACGCAATTTGATTAAAAATGCACTGTATTTTATTTCGTCGTGACGACGCCGCCATCTAATTAATTTGTCGCAGCGTGGCTCTTCCCCTGCCAGGTGGCAAGCTGTGCGACCTATTCGTTCCAGGACCTTCGGTGTGCAATCGGCAGTAACATGGCAATCGTGCTCGGGGGTCTTGTAGTGTTGGCGTAGCCTTCATGGGGCATATCTTCATTCAGCTGGCCTGGACGTCCACAGCTGTGGTGATGCACCCCTTGCACTAGTGTGTTTGCCAGGTGTGCCCGAGCCGTCGTACGACAGCCATGGCACGAGTGCGGGTGGGGCGGCATCGTTGGTGACCCCAATGCCTGGGAAAGTTATCAAGGTG